AGGAGGAAATGAACTGCGGTCTGGCTCTCCCAGCTTGCACGCGGTTTGATTGGCTAGCGCTTGTACTGGCGGGATTTGCATAAACGGGATTTGATTGGCTGATGCCAGCTTCGAAAGCATCGGGAGCATCAAAAGTTGAACATTGCTCAACTTTTGCTGCTCACGATGCTTGCAAAGCCATGCTCCGCTCCCCACAATGCAGTTCGGCGAAGATTCAAAATCTTCTACGTCACCCCATTCAAGTGAATGGGCGAAGCGTTGAAAGCATTTTTCGATGCCTGTAGTGTAGACGGGCCGTAAGCCCCTTTTGAACTACACCTCAAACTTGATTTTCTGGTTTATCTTCTCCCAAGACTGTGTAGCAACACCACTGGCATGTTTGGGGCTATTTGGGCCATTTTAAAAACAGGTGCCTAAGCAGGACGGGCAACCTATTTGCATTACCAAAGTGGCTGCAGTTTGCAGGCAGAAAAAAGTAAATTTTGAGCACTGATTGACTGGACCATGTTTATTAAATTTGGCAAATTGGGTTTTTTGACCCAACAAAACTGCTTAAAACCACAGCCAGGACATTTCACTATTGTCTGCCAACTGAATGAATTACATCAAATGTTTAAGAGGGCATGCCAATAAAAGGACACTGGTACGTTTGCTCTGACCAACTGGAACAAGGTGGGTAAAAGCAAGGCTTCCATTTATCACTTATTCACCATCAACTCCCTCTAGAGCCAAAATACACTGAGCAGTATAACTGTTCAGAAAACTGATTGGTCCGGTCAATGTTACCCGTAGGTAATGATAAAGGTTTTTCTCTAATGCCTTACCATTTCTTTTGGCTTCAGCTTTGCAAAAAAAGAACTGGCCAACTGCAGCAGCGTGGTAGTTATCACACACAGGTGAAGGTAGGCTGTAGCCTGTACACAACCTTAAATAGTTTAAACTTTGGGTGTGACATAGTTCAAGGGTTTGAGGCAAGAAGATCTCCCATGTGAGTGTGTAAGCTTGAACTAATCACGAAATAGCTTATGTAATGTTGTAGCAGAAAGTGACAATAGTGTGCGTGACAAAATCAGCAACCGCCCGCACTTCAAACATAAACTGTAGCAGTTGCTGGGCGAGCAGGGCTAACGGCAGTATTGAGTCAAGCTGTACATTGTATTTCTCGAATACTTTATGCACATTAAGCTCCCTCACTGCAGCCAATTATCATTATTATATGGGCTAACCAACTCTCAGGCTCGCTGGACATCGAAGAGCCTGGAAAGTTTGCCAAAGCTCAATCAGACCTAAGTGACACTCAAATGTACAAAAAGAGCTAGTACCTCACCTCTTATACCTCATTCACACCAACGGTGTTTCAGGGCCGGTTCGGAGCTGGAGCTTGAAAAGCACCGGGTTTTCCTGTTCACAACGCAGCGGAGCAGCCTCTTAGCTCCGGAATCCGGTTCGTTTCAAGCACCAAAAAATTGTCCGGCCAGAGCAAAAGCACCGCATACGTCACGCTAAAGTCGAGGCGGGGGCAGAGACAGATCAACTCCTGAACAACAACAACAAGCCCGCGTTTTATCCAGTTTGTACAACGATGATGGAGAAACTTAACAAGAGTTTCAGAGTTTCTGCCATAGACTGTATATATAAAGGTTTCTGCTCATGGTGAAGCAACGTGTCTGTGTTAAGGTGGAACCTGAGCATTCAGATTGATCACCTCTCATTATAAATCTATAAAACTATAAATATTAAACTTTACGTGTTCATTTGAGAACAGCGGTTACATACCTGGGTGAAGGTTACAGTTCATTTAAATGAAAGATACAACGTTACTCCACACTCATGGTTCAGTCCACCTTAAGAAATAAGACCAACCTCGGAAGCAGTTGTGTTTTTAAAAAAAACTTTATTGACACGAGTACACTTTTTTATAAGAATATAGTCCAACTCTAAACCACTGAAATGAGTCCGGAAAAGCTACATATAGAGCCATAAGAAATGAATGCAACTGATTTCATCCGCGCGGTTTGGCTTTATAAAGCAGGCCCGCAAACGGTTACGTCATGACGCAAACGATGACGCAATGACACATTACCAGTCGGACTCTGGGCGGTGTGAAAAGAGCCAGAGCTAAACCGAAGAACCGGTTCTGAACCTGAAAAGCTCTAGCACGGAGCTTGAACCGGAGTTGCGTTGGTGTGAATGAGGTATATGTTAAGATGAGAAATACAACTGTCCATCAAACAAAGTGATGAGGGAACGAGTTGGGGTGGTGGCGATGGTGATGAGTTCTGATAATGGGGTTGGATGGGGACAGCTACATGTACTACAGGTTTTAAAATGTTTGAATTTATGTGGTACGTTTTACCCCATATCACACATACATTTACACTACTTTTTTGACAATGTTGAAGTCTGTGTGTTTGTCTAGATTTGACATGAGAATAAATGTATCCCTAAAATTGAGCTAACTTTGAAATTATAAATGATACGCAAACTTCCATAATCTTTTTGGCCAAGACAATTATTTACAGCAATTAAAAATAATCCTGGTCAGTAGTAGTAGTAGCACGTCTAAAGCGATTGCTGCTTAGACTGAATCCAAATCCATTTAGGATGACTTCTACTGTGATCCTTACACAAGCTGCCTGGGCCTTGGAAATACGTTTTCAGCCTTTCAGCTGGTGTTCTTATCCAGGCAGGAGTTCAGGGAATTGTTCAAGGACACACTGAGTACACATGACGGATTAGGGAGCAATTTACCTGTTCAAAATATTAATCTCCTTAATTTTGACCAAAACGAAACATTCTAGGAAAATAATTTATCTGAGGAAGCAATCTTTCAAACGATAGACGTTCAATCTACACCAGATCAATTTCCGCATGATAATCTCACGTCTTTACCTTTTACATCTACAAAATATTAATAAAAGGACGCAACCTTTTATTGTAATGCTTACAAACCATAAACCCATGATAACTTCTAAGTAGGCATGGTTAAGTATCACATGAACAAGAAAAGAAACAGCTCTCAAAACAGTCAACAATGCAGCCTACAATTAGCATCCAACCAATTTAGTTATTTGAATGCGACATACAAAAAGTGGCACTACTTCTGCTGGGTTATCTGGCAGGCGGCCAGGTTTACTTGCTGATATGACAGCTTTCCAAGCACAAGCCACCCAACCTCACAGATTGGTCCAGATTCAGGGTACAGGCTGTACCCTAAATTCTACATTAGTAACAGCGAGCAAACAAACCAACTGGCAAACAAAAAGACAAAACAATTTGCTGACAGGCCAGGGTCAGAATCACTATAACCTGACTCCAAAACTGACACTGGCCATGAACAAGCTCACACATGGCTGTGAGAGGAAACACCACGTTGCCTTGCCAGAGCTGAGCTTGTATAATACCAATAATACCTCGACACAATCGATTATAATTACCCTAATTTTGGCAATCCACCACTAATGTAAAACATTTAATGTGCGGTTTTATTTATTTATGAAAACACATTATGTTGTATTTTTGAAGCCCAGATTAGTGAGCTCAAGCATAAGGCATGATGACTCTCATAAACCTGCTTGTTAGCATCCAAGCTCACGGTGGCTAGCTGGGTGGATAACCAGACAGGAGCCGGGTTAGCGCTGACAACAGACACAATACGTGACAACAGGGATATTACCCACGAAACACACACAATGTCTCACATAGGACCACCTCAAATATTAACTGGTCTCTGACTTTGCACGAATCCGACGCAATTAACCTGCTAAGTGGCTAGCTAGCTAGCTAGCTAGCTAGCTAGTATCGCCCATGCCTTTCTCTCGGGGAACACGTGGAGTAAACACGTGATGTCTAACAACAAGCCAGCTCCTTTTTAGCGATTAAACAAGCAGATGTTTCATGTTGGACAATGTTTAAGTTTCGTTAATTGAGCTTTAAAAAAACTTAAAGAGATGTCATGCCTTGCACAGAGTCTGAAACGACTGCACAGTAGCGACTTGGAAGCTAAGCTAATGTCTGAGTGGAAAGGGCTTGACGAAGCACTAGGCCAAAGAGTAGTCGTGCTATTGTTAGCTGGCTAAGCAGCGACACAGCCGGCAAGCTCGTGGTTTTTCTTCTAATTGATGCAATGCGAGACATGGGCGGATGTGTCGTGTATTTGTGTTGCAGCTATGTGTCGAAAAAGAGGGCCTCAAAACACACGTGTAAACATTAGTAAGCGCCGGTTTTAATATTTTGCAAACACATGGAGTGTTCAGCTAGGGTTTGGCTGATTGGGTGTGTGTGGCAGAAGATAAAACACAGGGAGGGTGAGCATGGTGATGGAGCAGGTTACAAATGAGGACGTTTAAGTTGACTACTGTCTTGTACAACGTACCCAACAAGCATGCACTGTGACACTGCTAAAATAAGCGTACTATACCTCAAAAGATTGCCAGAAAATAAACACAAACTGGATGAACTAAAGTAAATACAGATTCTGGCGAGTCTGCACCAACCCCGCAACTTTACAACCATTGCACGACAACACAACGTGTCCTTAAACTCGAAGCACAATCCCCTAATTACACCTAAAACTGTTCAAAGTATTGATTGGGGATGGGGGGCACACTATCACCTTAGGTGGACCCATTGTTTGGCATGTGATTACAAGTATTTACAATTTAGAAATACATTTTAGACATTCAGCAACTTAAATGGGTGTGATATTTTTTTGTTTTGATGCACCCAGCCACCTATGGGTCCACAACTCCAGGAATAGCCTTCCCTAGCAGGAGGAGGGAGGGGGCTTTAACTCCAAATATATCCAGCTTGCAGGGTGCAACAAGGGGGCGACCACAGACAGGGCTTGTTTATGCAATCACTCTTATTATTATTTTTGTTTTTAATAAAATGCTACCCGACCTTTCTTTGACAGCTGCTCAGTCATTGTTTGTGACCACACCTGGAAGGACAGACACCGACAGCGAGTACAATCAACATGTAAGGGAGGGTGTACCAACCGTGGTGTGCTTGTCCATTCACGCTGACCACGGTCACCGCATTCATTTTCCTAGTCCACGGGTTCACCTTGGGCGGTGGAGCTTCAGTAAACTCCTTTCTGCCTTTAACGCCTTCCTCGTTTTGTTTATCTTCGCTGTCACAACCTCCTTTGCTCTCCTCTGTCTCCTCTTTGGAGGTCTGCTCCTCCGAGGTCCCTCCCTGCCCGGGGCTGCTGCCGCCGCTGCAGCTCCCCTGCTCGGCGACACCAGTCTGCCGCTTGGCCCCGTCGCCCCGGCCGCCCTCATCTTCCTCCGGCTCACCGCGGATCGTTTTACCGTGCTCTGCAAGCGGGTTGCCGGGCAGGAGAGCCTCCACCTGAGTGGCCATTTCCCACCGCCGTCTTTCTTCCCCCCTCAGGATTACCAGTCCTCCCCACGGCCCGAATTCTCCTTCAATTTCAAGGAAATGTGAAGTTGTTACGCGGAGTCTGCGCTCCTCAGTCGGTCCTTGACGAAAATAGCTTCAGTCTAGACGCAAAGCATTCGGCGCCGAAATAAAACACGTATAAATATAAAGAAACGTGTACGAGGGCCTCGCAGGATTACAACCTTATCTCCACCACTAGCAGCAATATGGATGATCCTCACCACGCGATAGAAGGGTACGCGCACGTACGGTGAACAGGGGGCGTAGCCACGTAAAGCCGGGAGTGCGCTTTTGTGTCAGGTCGAGATGATGCCTTCAAACCCTTCCTCGTAGTAGAATTGATTAATTCCCAGTTTCTGGCAGCATTAAAGTGCCTTGTCGATTCAAGCTGGATAGCTTATTAATGACAAGAGCATATATTTCTGATAAACAACTTTATTTCGTGTAGTAGGCCTAACCTAGATATATATATATATATATTTTTTAAATATTTGTTTATGCCACTTTATTATGGCCCCCACTCTTTATACAAACAATTATTTATTTGTTGTGTGTTTGTTGTTTTGGTTTTAATACTGTGTCCTCACCAACACCACCTACTTTGTAGAGAAAATGCTCCCTTTTTTAATTCAATATGTTGTTATTTTGTCCTATTCTGCAGGATTATATCTAGATAAAACTATAGCTTCCACAACTAGCTTAACACATTTAATTAATATAAATATTTGAATAACAAACGGACCAAAACAAACTAAATAGTTACCCGTGTACCTTAAAAGCAACTTTAGTTCCAGAAAACCAAAGTACATGAAGATCACCGTCACATCTTTAATGTGTGATTTGATGAGATACTTTTGTGTGTGAGGGGGTGATTCATTCGTATTGCCAGGCAGATACACAAAGGTCTACTTTAGCCTATCACTGTAACATATGACCAGAAGACTATTCACAAGCAGTCATAGATATCAAACCTTGAAAGCCAGTTTTCTAACACATGGTTCTTATGTAATGTTACACCACTCTCATTGGTTGAATAAGCAGCCTTTTTCAGATAATTAAGTAAAAGTTATAAAACCACCATAAAAAGCTATTTCATGTAAACATTTACCATTTAAAAGAATACAGCAAAAAAAACCTTGGATGGAGTTACTCAGGAGGGTGACGTTCAATCAGAAGGCCTAAACTGTTATATAAGTGATATCATGGTTTATATTTATTGATGCATTGACATGTTTTATATGTTTTAAAGTGTTATTAATACAACAGTTACATGATTTTATCCGTACAAGTTTGTCTCATGTATAGGCTAAACATGTATTATTAGAAATATATTAAACTGCAAGTTAAGTAGTAACTAAAGCTGTCAGATATAGGCAGTGCAGTTGAAATATTAAATTGCATTATTATTTAATATTATATTGAATAACCAAGTTTAGCCCAAAGTACAAGCACCCTAAAATAGTTTGATTTAATTAAATGTCCTTGCATTTGAAGTGTGCATGTTTTTGTGAGACAATGCAGAAACAAAGTAAAAGGTTGTACACACACACACACACACACACACACACACACACACACACACACACACACACACACACACACACACACAAACACTAATAGATGTAAATAATGTCACAAAGGCTGTTGTATTTATTTGTTAGACTTTTACTGCAGACAGGCTACTTACCCGTAATTTAACGTTTTTTTCTCCGACGGACTTGAATGCAGCACGGAGCCTGGATGACGTCAGCCTAGCCCCCTGAACGCACCCTCAAATCAACGTTACCTCATTCAATCCGTTCAAAACAAAAGTTTTTACTCCGATTAGTTGTTCATAAAAAACCTTTCTATGATTTGACAACTGTTTGCCCCTCACTCGTGTATTGAAGGCTACTCAGTTTTTAAACAATTGTGAAAAAAGGAGATAAAAAAGCATCTTAACCCTCTTCACTGTTCCTACACGGTATACACGTGTCCATACCGTAGCTGCACGTGTGCGCTCACGCTCAGTTGTCTTGTGTGTTTTAGCTCTTATTCTGAAGCTTTATTATTTTATCATAGCAAAATACGATTTTAAGTGTGCGTTTCTGATGTTAGTCTACAAACTGGTGTGAATGCATGTGTGTTGTGTTCAGTGACATCCTCCACGTGGCTCAACCTACAACTGTTGTTTTTAAAGAACAGAGCAGTGATTAACTTGTGCTATTTGAGAGGCTACTCAGTGTTTTAGGTTCACTGTTCCTCTGAGGTGGAATTTACCTAAAACATTGAGGCTACTCTAGACTCATTCCAGGTAGGTGAGGTATCGTCACATCTTTACATTTTATTCAATTTGAATTTGCTTATATTCTTGAAGAATATGATACATTGCTAATAGTGGGGAAAACCCTTAAACACATACAACAGTAAAATGCAATATAATTACACATTAATGAGGCTTTAGCCAATACAAACACATAATTGCAATGCAAATACTGTTATATTTATATTTTACTATATTTTTTATTATGTTTATTCTTTTTCTAATGGATCTAAAACGTGCACTATACTCCACAGCCACCATTGCTTTTTGTTTGTTTTTGTCATGTAGCCCAGGATACTCAGATATTTCACTTAAGTAAAAGTATCAGTAGAGTGTAGAACTACTCTGCTATAAGATAGAGTCAGATATTTAACAAAGACATGCTAGCCTACTTAAAGTGTCACTACGACCCAAAATACAGTTTAGCTACTAACCAAAAAGGGCATACAGAAAACTACATGATGAACAAAACCTCACGTTCTTTTTGGCTTCAGTTTACCATAAATAAAGCTTAAGCATCATATTTGGGATTTGGAGTCTAAACAACTTTTACACATCATCTACAACACCAAATGGAGCCACGGGTGTTCCTGCTTATTTTTAAGATTCACCTTGTGGGAAATTCTACTCTTTATATATTTGAATACACACACAGTACAAAAACACACAGTATAAATATGCACTTTAGAGAGAAGAGGTCCGGCGCAAATGACCCAGCAGGTGAACTATACACATCTTCATTATCAGCCCACATTTTAAAATCAACTACACATCTGTATAGTTTTGCGATGGTATCTTACAGGGTTACAATGCTATCATGATGAGCAAATATGTTTAGAGACTTATAAAGTATTTAAAACCGCCTCTGTGGTAGTTTACAGAAGGTTTCTCCAGGAACACATTTCATTGTGATGACACACATACTCAGACTCACAAGTTGATAAAAACACAAGTGTCACTCTCACGACTAAGCAACAACCTGCGGCAGAGATGTTCACAAGTCTTTTTTTGCAAATCCAAGTCAAGTCTCAAGTCTTTGGTCACGAGTCCAAGTCAAGTCTCAAGTCTTTGTGGGGTGAGACTTGATCAAGTCTCAAGTCTTTGGTCACGAGTCCAAGTCAAGTCTCAAGTCTCTACAAAATAAAAGTCTCATGTCTCTTCTGGTTGTAATAAGCCTTCTATTGTCTGCTGCTATCCAGTCTGTTAAGAATACTGCACAGCTATATCTAAGAAATTCAAAGCATTTACTGTATTATTATCACTCCTATATCTATTAGCATACATTATCAGTACTGATTAGTTGTTTGTTATATGATCACTTTAAACAGGCTATTGCAATGCAATATGAGGAAAAACATCACACTTTAGCTAAATGCAAACAACTTATAAGCAAAACACTTCAGAATCAGAAATCAGTATCACAAATACTTTATTAATCCCCCGCAGGGAAACTGTGTTAAAAGTACTTAAAAGTATACATTTGTTATGTGCCATTTAAAACATGACCTGTTCCAAAAGAGATATCTACCATTAACACCATTTACCAGCCAAATGCTGATAAATCATGCAAGTGGCTGGTACTGTATGTTGCACGCACCAGCCAAAAATAACAATGGCAATCTATTGAGTGGCTGGTAAAATTTCAACATTCACTAGGCTAGCCATTTGGCCAGTGGACAAAAATGTTAAAATTTGACCTTTGCAACCGTATTGTTTAATTACACTGGGTCTCTAATTAAATCTTTTAAGTCTACTATAAATAAACATATTCCTCTATCCTCTCACTCAAACCCAGTGTAATGGTAACCTGATAAACCTGTAACATTAACGTTACGTGGTCAACAATAAACCTGTAACCTGCCTATAAACCGACAGATGTATTTATGTATGTAACTATGTATTTTTCTACGTTTAACGTTAGCCAGTAGATGGTGGCAGCGGAACGTAATGATTAACGTTACCGACCTTTTTTATGTCATGTCAAGAGTTGGATGTCAACGCCACTCAACGCAAACAAGTGTGACAAGCAAACATTCACTCATCTTTTCAAATATTCAGTTACAAAGCTAGTAGCAAGCTAAGTTAACATTATATAGCTGATGCTGAGCTAAACATGTTTGCTAACCGTCCATATGCGTTAATGTGACTGACCTCTCCGGGTGAGTTTTCAAGTGCCTGATGAAATTTGACGTTGTTGCACCAGCATCCTTGATTTTAATATTGCAGACTTTACCTCTCTGAAGAACCAGCACCTTACCGTGGTAGAGAGGTTTGTGTGCCCTGATGAACCTGGGGGCTGTGTTGTCTGGAACCTTGTGTTCCTGGTAGGGTCTCCCATGGCAAATTGGTCTCAGGCAAGGGGCCAGACTAAGATTGGTTCAAAAGACCTCATGAAAGAAAAACTAAGAAGTGAGGATACCCGGCCCGGAGGAAGCCCGGGGTCCCCTTCTGGAGCCAGGCCCAGAAGGAGGACTCGTCGGCGAGCGTCTGGTGGCCGGGCTTGCCACGGAGCCCGGCCGGGCCCAGCCCGAAAAGGCAACGTGGGCAACACCTCCGCTTCTCCGTCCCGCGGGCCCACCACCTACGGGAAACATCGATGGGGTCGGGTGCGCTGCCAGAAGGGTGGCAGTGAAAGCGGAGGGTCTCGACGGACCAGACCCGGGCGACAGAAGCTGGCTTTGGGGACGTGGAACGTCACCTCTCTGGGGGGGAAGGAGCCGGAGCTTGTGCGGGAGGTGGAGCGTTACCAGTTGGATCTGGTTGGGCTCACCTCTACGCACAGCGTCGGCTCTGGAACCTTACTTCTGGATAGGGGTTGGACTCTATTCTTCTCCGGAGTTGCTCAAGGTGTGAGGCGCCGGGCGGGTGTGGGGATACTCACAAGTCCCCGGTTAGGTGCTTCGTTGTTGGAGTTTACCCCAGTGGA